ATTAACATGAAGACAATCAAATGCCACAACAAGTGATCATAAATTTTGTAACTTCTTCTAGGAGTCATACCTCAGAATCTACAATGTAAAGGCAATCCTCCTCTTCGTCATAGAGGGTTGCCGCAGGGCGTAACATCTTTGCAGATTCAAATTCCCCATCCTCAAAACCTGGGAAACAACCAATCTGAAATAAAAACACCGTCTTGAAGTTTAGCTTTGTTAAACAAGTAGTTTCAAATGAACTTTTCTCACTAGGAATGCCCTTTAAGGGAAATTGAGCAAATAAATCTTTAAAATTTATACTTTCCGAAATGTGATTCAGTTCACTTACACTGTCTAAAATCTTCCCACTGTTATCCAATATAATAATACGATGATGGTTGCTATCAGAGAGAAAGAGACGATCTCCAATTTTATCTGCAGAGATACAACCTGTCACAGAGAATGGAAACATCAAAACCATATTCCGAAAAGACCAAAAAAACAAATGAAGATTGGAGATACATACCTGGAAAGTAAAGAAACAAATCCTGCAAGAACGACGAGAAATGTGGTTCCTTGATAGCCTCAGCCTGTTTTGACCAAGTGTTTGTGAAAAGTTTGACAGACTTGGATTTCTCAGTATCTTGAGTGAGGTTGTCAAGAACTGCAGCAAAGCAGAAGAAGAAACCAGAATACGCAGTTAAGCACAAAAATCAAAGGAAACTATCAGATGGTTCTGCCTTTTTTAGATGCCGAGTAAGATTCAAAGTATGAAGTGAAGACTATTTAATAGCTAAAGTCAGCCTAGCGCGGATTGAAATTTCTTTTCTTTTAAGGTAAAGATGGAACACTAGCTATAACATTGTTAGAGAATATCTGTTGCAAACAAGATGATAAAGTAGGCAAACCTTTAGCTACAGAAGCAATATCCAGATCCTTTTCTTGGTAGATTACATGATTCTTAAAATCTTTAAACACGATGTAGCGTACTTCCTCAGTCGTCTAATACAAGTAGAAAACACCACACCCTCAAATTTAAATAGAACCATATGCACATAACTCGAGAGACTGATATACAAAAAATGTAATTTACAGTAAAATGACTCTACCTTGGGAAATTCTTTCTCAGAAAGTAGTACAGGAAAGGTAAGGTATTCCTTCACAATCAACTCAGCCAAAGCAGCTTGATCATCAGTGATTCGAGCTTGATCACTGAAGTGAATGCCCATGAAACAGACACCCGGAGACCTTAAAAGAAAACCTCGTTAAGTCACCATGAATTCATTGGTTAAATTAGCAGGAAAAGAAAGAAACTTTGATTAAAAACCTCTGCTGCAGCAACTTTAGTTTCTCAATCGGATCACTAGTTCCGTTAAGCAAATGTCCAGCAAGAACTACATAAGTTCCTTTGTCCTTGAAAAGCTGTTTATTCCCAATGTCTCGATTCAACCAATGATGGGAAGGACCTAAGAGTTACATTTCCAAAACTTTGCTTATAACAGAAAGAGAGATGTTTCAAACCAGATGACAGAATCAGTATACAAGAATCAGTACCTTCAAGTTTATCAAGTGAAGTTCTAATATAAGAGAGTAAATCACTATGTGGAGACGAAACAGAAGCTCGAGATACTCGTTTTACTGATGCAAACCTGAAAGAGACTGCCCAATACAAGTTAGAAAGTGAAACTCAAATCGCAAGAGAATAAATTCACTGCTCGATGCAATCAATTGAATTACCCGCGAGAAAAACATTGTCCGACCAATATATTCGACGCAATGTTCATGTCTGTATCGAATGAAGGAGCTAAACAAGTGGCTCTAGTAGTAAAGGGTCGCCGAATTCTCCCGTGGATATTGTCTACTCAACAAAAAATAAAGAGCCATAAAACGTTAAGACGCTTAATTAAGTGAAAACCCAGAGAGCTTGACTTGAAGAAGACGATCAAATTTCCGAACCTGAGACAATCCGAGAAGAAAGCCATGAAATTTTCTTCAAATGGAGACTTCTAATAGACATTCTGAATTCGTGGCTTCAATATTTTTACGCTCCAACGAGTTTAACGAATCCCAGATTCTTCAAGGGTTTAACCGCCGACACCGGAAGCCGGCGGGATCTTGAAATGACCATACTTTCAGGCAAACCGATACACAAGTAGAAAGGTTACTACTTGGAAAAAAAAAAAACTACAATTAGTATGTTAATTATTATGCTCGTAAGAGCAATGCACATCGGGGTGGTGGCGCAGTTGGCTAGCGCGTAGGTCTCATAGCTATCTGAGTAATCCTGAGGTCGAGAGTTCGAGCCTCTCTCACCCCAATAATTTATTTTTATTTTTTAGTTAACTGAAATTGAATCGGGTCAAGTCGGCTGGGTCGGGTCATGATCCAATTACAGCTATTAGCAAAACCCTAATTGGCGCCGATATCTCCATCTTCCTCCTCCATAAACCCTTTTCTTCTACCTTGCTCATTTTTTTTCTGCGTCGCTCTTAGCGAAAGGCTAAAGATGGTGAAACGGAGTAAAAGTAAGATAAATCCTTCAATCAAATTCTATTCGTCGATGAACTGAATTCAAGTTCAGGTTTTTATTGGGTTTTTATTGATTGTTTGATTTGATTGCAGAGAGCAAGAGTAAGAGAGTGACCTTGAAGCAGAAACACAAGGTCCTGAGAAAGGTGAAGGAGCACCACAAGAAGAAAGCAAAGGATGCTAAGAAGCTTGGGCTTAACCGTAAGCCAAAAGTAGAGAAGGATCCAGGTATCCCCAATGACTGGCCTTTCAAGGAACAGGAGCTTAAAGCCCTAGAAGCTCGACGTGCCCGTGCTCTTGAAGAGATTGAGCAGAAGAAAATCGCCCGCAAAGAAAGGGTATTAAACTTTGTAGCTCTTATCTATGAATCTGTTTACCTTATATTGTCTGAGATTTAGACATAGCTACTGTATCTTATGGTTTTTGATAATCGTTTAGGTCGCAATTGTTACATACATTTCCTTTATGCGTTCTGGGTTTTGGTTGATTGATGAAGGGATAGCATTTTCCATGTCTTGCTGTTTTGATGTTCTCGTAATAGTTATTACGAAGTGTTGTTTGTGTTCTGATCTCTCTTTACAAATGTGTTTCAGGCCAAAAAGAGGAAACTTGGTTTGGTTGACGTTGACGATGAGGATACCAAGACTGAAGAAGAAGGATATGGAGAGGGGAAGAGCAAAGATGACTCAACTAGAGTTGTTAATGTTCGAGGTGAGTGTTATTGTGCTTGGATTTGGATATCTTCTCCACGCGTTTATGCGATTTCTATCTGCCTTTTTACATTTATTGGTGTCTATTGTTTGGCAGATAATTCGGAAAGGGCTTTCTACAAGGAGCTTGTTAAAGTCATTGAATTGTCTGATGTCATTTTGGAGGTTCTTGATGCCCGTGATCCCCTTGGCACTCGTTGTACCGATATGGAGAGGATGGTGATGCAAGCTGGTCCCAATAAGCACCTTGTGTTGCTGCTGAACAAGATTGGTAAGTTGTATAAAAGTCTCTGCTTGTAGACATAAAGAGTTGTCTGTTTCCTCCGGGTGGTGTCGTTAATTTTTTTTAACGAATTCTCTTTCTCTAGATCTTGTTCCCCGAGAGGCTGCTGAGACATGGCTTAAGTACCTTAGGGAAGAATTTCCAGCTGTTGCCTTTAAATGTAGCACCCAGGAACAGAGATCAAACTTGGGTTGGAAATCATCTAAAGCATCAAAACCAAGCAATCTTTTGCAGAGTAGTGACTGTCTTGGAGCAGACACTCTTATCAAACTGCTGAAAAACTACTCAAGAAGTCATGAGGTTGGTTTTTCATAATTGACACTTCGATCACCCTTGCATTGAGTTATATTATCCAGTTTTGATTGAATCTTCCTCTGTTGTTCTTTTTGGCAGTTAAAAAAATCTATTACAGTTGGTATTATCGGACTGCCTAATGTCGGGAAGAGTAGTCTTATTAACAGTTTGAAGAGAGCTCATGTTGTCAATGTCGGTGCCACTCCTGGACTGACTAGGTCTCTGCAAGAGGTTCACTTGGACAAAAATGTGAAGTTGTTGGATTGTCCTGGAGTTGTGATGCTCAAATCTTCAGGAAATGATGCTTCTATAGCTCTCCGGAATTGTAAAAGAATTGAGAAGCTGGATGACCCAGTTAGTCCAGGTAAGGAAATATTCTTTAGATAGAATCACACATCTTTTTATGCTTTGTCTTGTGAAAGTTATAAATCTCAGTGACCTAACCTGGAAATCTTTTAATTTGTGGAAAATTTAGTGAAGGAGATTCTCAAGCTTTGTCCAACAGAAATGCTAGTGACTTTGTACAAGATACCGAGCTTTGAAGCAGTTGATGATTTTCTATATAAAGTTGCCACCGTAAGGGGTAAGCTTAAAAAGGGTGGTCTTGTGGATATCGATGCTGCTGCAAGGATTGTTTTGCATGACTGGAATGAAGGTGCGGAGCCGTTGTCATCTTTTAGTTCCTCATTAACTTTGGAATTTTCCAAACCTGGTTAACTCATCATTGTCTCTAAATATGAATGGTTTGTGCAGGTAAAATTCCATACTATACAATGCCTCCGAAGAGGGACCAAGGTGGACACGCGGAGTCAAAGATTGTGACCGAGCTGGCTAAGGAGTTCAATATCGATGAGGTTTACAGTGGTGAATCCTCTTTCATTGGGAGCTTGAAGACGGTTAACGAGTTCAACCCTGTTGAAGTTCCATCCAATGGTCCTCTCAACTTCGATGAAACTATGATGGAGGTTGGTTGATAATTCTCTCAAAATTGCATTTGCTTGAAAACCCCTTGTTCTGGTTTAACCTTGGTTATGTATCACTAAAACCACAGGATGGGTCCAAGACTCAGACAGAAGAAGAGACTGGAGAAGACAGTGATGATGAGTCTATGGGAGGGGAAGAAGCGGAAGAAACTGAAAGGTTGAAGGAGAAATCAGAGACGAGCAGGCAGAACAAGAAGCTATATGTGGCTGGTATGCTGAATACGAAAAAGCAGAAAGCGGATAAGAAGAAGAGGAAGAAAGCGAAGAAAGCAGCAGCTGATGAGGATCTTATGGATGGAGATTATGATTTCAAAGTGGATTATGCCAAGAAGAAAGATTATGCCATGGATGAAGGAGACGTATTCGGAATCGAGGCTAAGGTACCAATGGCTGTACTTGCAGAATTGCCTGAAGAATGAGTGATTTAAAACAGTTTTTTTTTGTTTTTGCGTTTATGATGATTTTGTCGAGTAAACTTTTGTTACATATGTTTCTGCTTCATGAAGTAGTTAGTAGTAACACTAAAAAGCAATTCTTATTTTCTACAGTTGACCTTTTCTTTTCCTCCACTAATTACGTTAGGTGATCAAAATATCTTGATACAAATTAGATCAATTAAAATTCCAAGTTGCAAATGTGAAAGTTGACTTGACTTTGTTGAGGTCATTGAAAGGTATCTCATTGAAAAGGTTTTGTGGCTTAGCTTCTTTGCTCAAATTCAAGAAGCTCACACAAAGATAAGAGAGAAGATGAGTTCAGCTACTGTTGATTTTGGGATCGGACTGATTCTTAGTCTCCTGGAAAACGAGACCTTGTTGTTGTCAGGAGTCCATGGCGAGATTGAGAAGATGAAGGAGTTGCTTATCATGAAGTCTTTTCTTGAAGACACCCATACACATGGTGGTAATGGATCCACAACAACAACTTTTCCAAACTTTTGTGACAAACACGAGATTTGGCTTACCAAGTGGAAGACATAATCGACGAGTTTGCCTATCACATCCATGGTTATCGCACCTGCACAAAGCTTTGGCGTGCGATTCATTTCCCCAAGTATATGTGGGCGAGGCACTCGATAGCTAACAAGCTAAGAATGGTGAATGACATGATTCAATCCATTTCTGAGTCCATGAAAAGGTACTATAGTTCAAGAGACTACCAAGGAGCATCATCATCATTGCCTATTGATGATGGTAGTTCAAAGTGGGTGAATAACATTAGCGAGCGTCTCTTTTCTTTAGTGAAAATAGTCTTGTAGGGATTGATGCAGCCAAGGGAAAGCTCATTGGTTGGCTTATGAGTCAAGAACCTCAACGGGTAGTTGTCTCCGTGGTTGGAATGGGTGGTTCAGGGAAGACTACACTCTCAGCTAATATATTTAAGTCCCGAATCGTGCGTAAGCATTTCGAGTCACATGCTTGGGTAACAATCTCTAAATCTTATGTGATTGAAAATGTGTTTAGGACAATGATCAAAGAGTTTTACAAAGAAGCAGAAACAGAGATTCCGGTCGAATTATACTCTTTAAGTTACAGAGAGTTGGTGGAAAAACTTGTGGAGTATTTGCAGTCAAGAGAGGTACTTTGTTGTACTTGATGATGTATAGACTACTAGTCTTTGGAGGGAGATAAGTATCGCTTTACCGGATGGTATTTGTGGGAGTCGTGTTATGGTAACTACTCCGAGCAATAATGTAGCTTCTTTCTCATATGGAATTGGAAGCCGAAAGGACGAGATTGAGCTCTTAAAAGAAGATGAAGCTTGGATTCTTTTCTGCTACAAAGCGTTTTCGGGAAGTCTTGAGCAATGCGGAAGGAGGAATCTTGAGTTGATAGCGCGGAGATTACTCGAGAGATGTGAAGGCTTACCATTAGCTATTGCTTCTTTAGGGAGCATGATGTCAACAAATAAGTTAAAATCAGATGGAAGAAAGTCTACAATACTTTGAATTGGGAACTGAACAAGAATCTTGAACTCAAAGTTGTTAAAAGCATTTTGTTGCTTAGCTTCAACGATTTGGCTTATCCGCTCTTTCTTGTATTGTTCTCTTTTCCCTGTGAACTATCAGATGAAAATAAAGAGGATCGTTAGGATGTGGATGGCACAAAGGTTTGTTGAACCGATCAGAGGAGTTAAAGCAGAGGAAGTGGCTGATAGTTACCTCAATGAACTTGTTTATAGAAATATGCTACAAGTTATCTTGTGGAATCCTTTTGGACGACCCAAGGTGTTCAAGATGCATGATGTGATAAGGGAGATTGCTATATCTGTATCTAAAGCTGAGAGGTTTTGTGATGTATATGATAATGACAATGATGAAGATGATGCGGAGACAACAGAGGCTTACGGTACTCGCCACTTATGCATTCAGAGGGAGATGAGATCAGGTACTACTGTACGTAAAACAAACCTTCACTCTCTTTTGGTTTGTTCTGCTGCTAAACAGAACATTGAACTACCTCCAAGTCTGAACCTTTTGAGAGCTTTAGACCTCAAGACTCTGCTATTAGTAAGCTGCCAGATTGTTTAGTAACTCTGTTCAACTTAAAGTACTTGAATTTGTCGAAAACCAAAGTGAAGGAACTTCCAAGAAACTTCCATAGACTCATCAACTTAGAGACATTGAACACTAAGCACTCCAAGATTGAAGAACTTCCTTCAGGGATGTCGAAGCTACGGAATTTGCGTTATCTGATTACTTTTTGATGCAACTATGGACCGGATTCAGATTGGAATTATGTTTTAGGTACAAGGGTTTCTCCTAATATTTACCAGTTGAAGGATTTGCAAGTCATGGACTGCTTCAACGCAGAAGCTGAGCTAATAAAAAATCTCGGGAACATGACTCAACTCACAAGAATAAGTCTAGTCATGGTTAGAAGAGAACATGGAAGTGACTTATGCAAGTCACTGAATAAGATTAAAAGACTCAGATTCTTATCTCTGACGTCCATTAATGAAGAGGAACCGTTAGAGATTGGTGAATTGGTAGCAACTACAAGCATTGAGAAGCTCTTTCTTGCTGGAAAACTGGAAAGAGTACCAAACTGGTTCAACAATCTTGAAAGCCTAACCTATTTGGGTTTGTGCGGATCTCGGTTGCAAGAAAACGCCATTCGCTGTATCCAAGCGCTTCCGAAATTGGTATGGCTTTCATTTTACAATGCATACATGGGACCTGTTTTGTGTTTTGCACAAGGGTTACAGAATCTGAAGATTCTAGATATAGTTCAGATGAAACATCTGACACAAGTTGTAATAGAAGATGGTGCATTGTTTGAGCTTCAGAAACTCCATGTCAGAGATTGCAGAGGGTTAGAGTCGGTACCAAAAGGAATTGAGAATCTTGTAAACCTTCAAGAACTGCATTTGAGTCATGTTTCTGATCAGCTAGTAGAACGGATTCGCGGAGAAAGGAGTGTAGACCGGTCAAGGGTTAAACACATTCCTACCATTAAGCATCATTTCAGAAATGATGATGGCTCTTTCTATGTAAGCCTTTCATCTTAAGTGGCTAGACAAGGACAAGCTTTACGATTAGTGGCTTCCTAGTGCATTTCAAAGTAGACTAGATTTTATGTTAACGTCCCTGCTTATTGATTTATCTTTTTTTTGCTCACTTATTATATTTTAAACAATTTTTGTTCATTATCAAACTAGGGTTTTTACTTTGCCAGCATCATTTAGGGTTTCCAAGTATTTAATTGTTACATATACAGCCGGCAAGAAATCAAAGGAAAGGGGAAAAAGTGTTTTTTGAGGTT